ACCTTTGCTTTGCTTTATTCCTCCTGGTTTCTGCAGCTCTCCCAGCCAGACGGGACTTCGCTGGCTAATCCCACGGCAGCTCTAAAGGGTCTTTAGGGTCCCTGAGGGCTTTTTTTGGCGGTGGGGACGCACTGAGGGCTGCGCACGGCTCACGAATCCGTGCCCGGGCCGAGGCGGCGCGGCCCTGGCGGCAGCTCACCTGTATGTGGCACCATTGAGCTCCGGATGGATCGCCTGCTGGTCGAGCACGGACCAGGGCGCTGTCGTGACAAAGAACTCCTTGTTCACGCAGTTCCTGAGGCTGTCGGGGATGCGACCTGGAAGGGAGGGGGTGTCAGGCAAGACACCGCTTCGGCGCTCACAATAAACCACAATATTCCCAGTGCTGGAAAGGAAAAGCCCCGAACGCTCTTGGGCTGTCCCACGGTGATGGGATGGAGACCGGGAACACTGTCCTGCCTCAGCCCTGCTGCCCATGGACCCCCTGAGGTTTCACATCATCTACTGGGGAAGGAAAGGCAAGTGAGCTGGGGCTGGAGCTCAATAAACCACAATATTCCCAGTGCTGGAAAGGAAAAGCCCCGAACGCTCTTGGGCTGTCCCACGGTGATGGGATGGAGACCGGGAACACTGTCCTGCCTCAGCCCTGCTGCCCATGGACCCCTGAGGTTTCACATCATCTATTGGGGAAGGAAACGCGGGTGCTGCCTACCTGTGATGGCCCGGCGGATCTCGGTGGCAGCGGCCTCGCGCATCTCCAGCGACGCCTGCTCGCTGTACCAGGCCGTGTGCGGGGTGCAGATTAAATTGGGAGCGTCTTTCAAGGGGCCTTGAGCGAAACTAGAAAGGACGGAGCCGAGGGGGGAGAATGAATCAGGAGTTAAGAAGAGGGCAGCTGCCTACCTGTGATGGCCCGGCGGATCTCGGTGGCAGCGGCCTCGCGCATCTCCAGCGACGCCTGCTCGCTGTACCAGGCCGTGTGCGGGGTGCAGATTAAATTGGGAGCGTCTTTCAAGGGGCCTTGAGCGAAACTAGAAAGGACGGAGCCGAGGGGGGAGAATGAATCAGGAGTTAAGAAGAGGGCAGAAGAGCGCCGCGTCGCGCC